TGCCGAACTCGGCTCCACAGGCGAGGGAGCCAGCCCAGCAGCCCAATGGGCCGAAAGCCGCCCTGGGGCTTGGGCAGCATGACCACCAGCGAGTCGGTGATGACGCCGGGCCAACCGCCGAGCTCCTCGCGCTTCATGCCGAAGTCCATGACGGCCTCGAGGAGCTCTTCGCTGAGGTCCGCAGCCTTCCTGCCGACGCCCGCACCATGCCTGAAGGTCAGCGCTGCCGATCGGACCTGATCTGGCGACGGCCTTGGCAGGGCCTCGCCATCGGCAGGAGGTGGCCGAGGGCGGAACCTGCCGCCGCGGCTCATGACCCGCCACACTTCCGTCGACCACTGTGCTGCCACTACCTTCACCCTATCGGGAGCGTGCGCAGGCGCCACATGAAACTCGTCGTCAGGAGCCCATGCCCGTGGGCCTCGCCTGTAGGCGTGCAGGCCGCCCGCTCCTTCCACGATGGAGTGCTTGATCCACTCCTTGAAGCCCTTGCCGCGGATGGCCGCGAAGGCTGCTCCTTCTGCTTCGGCCGCGGCCCTGGCCTGGGCAGCCCACTCTTCCAGGGGAAGGATGCCTGGGCATTCAGCTGCCAAGCTGACGCGCGCGGCCCACTGCGCGCCGAGTGGGAGGCCCGCCCACTGTGGAGGGTGGCCTCGGAGCCCCTCTGCCTGTGCGGCTGCCCCCACTGCGTGAGCCGTCGCTGCTGCAATCGCCGTCTGCGCTGTCGCCACTGCCCTCTGCCACGCCATCGTGGTACCGCAAGAACTGCCTGACGCCCAGGATGTAGCTGTTGCGCGCGTCATCGGCGATGTCCCACGCGACGGGGTCGCTGGTCTCCAAGGCGCCCACGCTGCGCGCGCACTCGTTGCGCACGCCCACGGATGCCACCCAGCTGTCCTCGCAGATGGCCACGGCGCGGGCCCAACGGGCTGCCGCTCGCTCGCCAAAGGGCTGCGCCGCCGCTGTCTGTGAGGGTTGGAGCGGGATCACGCTGATGCCCTCCGCTGATGCGGCTCCCCCTCCAACCCCTGCCGCTGGTGCTGATGCTGCTGCCTCAGATGCGACTCCCAGTCCAGCCCCTGCGGGTCCGCCATCTGCGTTGCCACGGGGCCCTGGTTGGTCGCCACCGTCGCTCTCGTACTGGCTGAGGCGCGCGTAGGCGTAGTGGGTGCACAGATCCATCCACTCTGCCTTATCCTGCCCCATGTCCAAGGAGTGCAGGTCCGGGAGCCATCCACGGCTCGAGCGCTGGAGGGTTCGACGCACCCCTGCTGCGCCGACGCCAATGGCGCCCCACCCCCCATGGGCGAAGTGTGGGGAATGGCTGCGCACATGGCTGGTGCCTGCGGCTCAGGGGCGAGGCCCGAGCTGCCGCGGCCGTCGCCCTCGAGCCCGTCGCCCCCAGGGTCCACCCCTGCGAAAGCGATGGGGGCTCCTGGCAGGTGCCTGTTGTACTCCCCGTTCTCCTCCGGCCACCTCCTGGACTCGCGATAGTTGTCCGCGGCCCTGTGTACTTCCTCTTCCCATCCGCCATGATCGACGAGGCCAAGCTGGCTAAGGATGGGCACCAGCTCCAGACGCCCAGGGCCATCGCGCCGCCATGCCGAGGAACGCACCTCGCGGGCCGTGCGCATGCGCCTGTCGAAGTCCTCGGCGAGACCTGTGGCGACGTACGTCGGCAGGCCCAGCATGCGGAAGATGTGGGGCGCGCACTTCTCCATCCACTCGCCCTCGTCCTCGTAGTGGTTGGGGTTACTGGGGTTTGACACCCAGCTGCGGGCGCGCCTTCCCAGGACGCGCTTGAGGCGATTCGAGGCCCTAGTCTGCATGCGCTCGGCCTCTCTCGTCTCGGGGTCCATCATCACCTCCGACTGGCCGTCTGGAAACCAGTCTCCTGGGCCCCCGCCGACGAGAAACCTCAACTGCGCGAAATAGTCGCTAAGGTGCATCAGCTTCTTGCCCCTGAAGCTGGCCCTGGGGCCCTCGATGGGTCTCGCGCACGCCTGGTAGCCGAAACTGAAGCACGGCGGGCCCCCTCGACCACGGTAGAAACTGGCGTCATCGGGATCAACCTGGTACGCCCACACTAACTCGTCCTCCACGCTCTCGCACAGGACCTGGTACGCCTCGGTGAGGGCCTGCGTGTCGCTGCCAATGTCGATATGCGCCCTCACGGGGCTGTGGTCCCACTGCTTCTCTAGCATGGGTCCGAAGGGCCTCACCTTGGGAAACGCCATCGGCCCCTTGACCCTGAACGACTGGCCCAGGTCGCCGCAGCAGGTGAGGCTGAACGTGGCCGCCATGTGGGGCCTGCACGGGCTGGCGTACCCCTTGGCTGTCATGCCGAGGCGCGAGCAGTCCGCGACACGGTCCAGCAGCTCGGCGCCGACGATGAACCAGTCGAGCTCGGACGGCCCCTTGGCAAGGGAGCGCTGGCGGGTGCCCTCGCCCGTGTCGGCTACGCGCCCCCCTATCTTGCAGAGCCAGTTGCCCGCGCGCAAGTGGAACCTGTCGGGCTCGACGTTCCAGTCGCCAGCGAGGGCCCACGGCTTGCCCGTGCGCTGGAGGAGCACGCCGACCCCCTGCAGCACGTACGCACTGCTCTCGCCGACGTCATCGTTGCCCAGGTAGATCGAGCCCAGCAGGAAGCCACCAAGCACTACCCCGTTGATGTGTGTAACCGTGGCCCTGCCGTCGGCGACGCGGCAGCTGGACTTGCTGCCCTGCGCGCCTGGGCCACGCATGCCGCGCGCTGTGCGCACGGCGACGCCAGTGCCGCCGCTGACGGCGCGCCGCTGCGAAGCGCCCATGGTGCCGACGCCAGGGGTCAGCGCAGCGCTCCAGCCCACTTGCCTGCACCACTGCTCCTGCTCCTCGGCGCGGTAGCCATTGAGGTGGTGATCCTGGAAGCACATCGCGTCGCCGATGTGGGCCTCGGCGACCTCCTGCTGCTGGGGGCCCTGCTGCACGCCAAGGATGGCAGTGAAAAGGGGCCCCAGCCGCTGCCGTTGAGGCTGGCTACCGTGAAGATGGGCCCGCCCCCCCCGCCCCCCCCCCCCCCCCCCCCCCCCCCCCCCCCCCCCCCCCCCTTCTCCTGACCCCCGCGGGCCGAAGGCTTTGGAGGAGCTTCTGGGCCCGCTGCTTGCGTTTGGCGGCAGCCTGCGCCGCGGGGTCTGCGGCGGGGGAACCGCCGCCGCGCTCTCCGCCAGCGCCCTCCGAAGCGTCCTGCTCCGAGGCGTCTCCCTCCATGCTTTCCAGGATGTTGGAGATGTCGGCCTCGTCGATCTCCTGCTCGTCACCGCCGCCACGTTCGACCGCGGCTCCTGCCGTTGCCACCTGTTCCGCCAGGCGGCGGAGCTCGGCGACCTGGCCCCCCCACTGCTCGGCGAAGCCAGGGGCGAGCATGCGGGAGGCCTGGTTGAGCGCCGCCAGGAACGCGGTCGCCCGCTCGCCTTCGCTGAGCGGTGCACCAGGAGAAGCGGGGGCGACCCCTCCGCCGGGCGCAGCCTCACGAGGGCGGCCGTCCCGTTCGCGGAGCTGCGTGGCCAGGAGATTGTCGATGAGCGCCTGCAGCTTCTTCTCGGTGGCCTTGCTCTGCTCGTATTTGCCCTCCAGCTCGAGCTTCTGGCCCTGGAGATCTGAGATCTGCTTGGTGGCGGCGGCGATCTTGCGCCCCAGCGCCTCGCTGGTGCTCTGCTGGTTCTTCTGCTGGCGTTCCAGCTCGCTGAGCTGGACCGATGTGGGCTTGGCCTCGGCGAGCTCGTGTTCCAGCTGCTGTGCTTCCTGACGCTTGGCCTCCACGATCGCCTCTGCGCCTTCCACCCCACCGAGCCGTTTGATCTCGCTGCGGAGCTTCCCCAGACGGCGGACACGGTCTGTCTTCTCCGCAGACTGCGGCCCACTGGCTGCATCTGCTGCTCCGCCTCCGTCGCCGCCCTGGCCTGGGGACTGACTGTTCTCCAGCTTCTTGACCTTCCTGCGCAGCTGGTTGAGCTCATGGCGTTCTTTGGCGTCCAGTTGCGACATGCCGCCCCACCATGAGCTTGTCCCAGAGCCAATTTCCCACCAGTCATATCCACAGCTGCGACAGACGTGCCTGGAGCCCCAGTTCTTCTTGGCTCCGCACTTCGGGCAGTCCCAGACCCTCGGGGCGCCGCCGCCGCCGCTGCCTGGTTGCTGACCACCCCGTCGTCCTCGACCGCTGCCTCCTCGGCCGCCGCTTCCGCGCGCGCCGCCTCGATCACCACCTCCGAATCCTGCCATTGGTCGAGCCCGCCGCGGCTGGGCTCCCAATCGGGCGACTGGGGCCGAGTGTCGGAAAGGTAATGGATATGAAAGAGCTGCGGCCTCTGAGGCCTCGCTGAAAGCTTGGTCAAATTGGAATCTGACCCAAGAAGAGACGCGACGGCAGGAGCCAGCCACATGGGACCAGACACCTGCCCTGATCGCGCCACCTTGAGTCAACATGGCTACGGATGATGATGATGATGGTGATGATAATGATGATGCTGATGCTGATGCTGATGTTGATGATGATGATGCTGATGATGGTATTGTTGCTATGATTATTAGTAGTAGTTTCAGTCGTAATATTATTACGAGTATGATTATTAATGGTATTAGTATGTCTCTCAGCGCTAGGCCACATGGGTAGCCTCTGGCAGAAGCTGCGGCATGCAGGGGAGTTGGCGGAACCCTGGCCTGCCTGGCCTCGACCACTGAGCGCTCTCGATCCACTGTGGCAACAGATCGTAGTGAAGAAACGGGTGATGTATGATGGAGTGTAGTCGGTGGTTCAAAGATGGGGTCCTGAGCGATGGGGTCCCGAGGACGAGGTGCCTCAAACAGTGCAAATCCAGCCTCGGATCCCTGCCTATCCCGAGGACCCCATCCCTCAGGACCCCGTCTTTGAACCATCGATGCAGGTTTCCCCGAAGCGAAAGCAGGGCAGGCAAGCCACCCTCGGCGAGGAGCGAGGAGACGAGGCGGGACGCGCGCGCCCATGGCCCAGACGTCTACGGCGGGGCCGTGGGGCTCGTTCTCGACCTCGCGCGCGCGCGGTAAGCCGCACGTCGCACCGCCAGCACGAGACAGCTTGCTGGGGGGGCCGTCGCCCGGGCCTCTTCAGAGGCCTCCCGGGTGGGGCCCGAAAAAAGATGGGGTCGGTGGAACGCGCCGCATCGCCGATGCATCGACGATGCATCGGAGACGTCGGACATGCATCGGCGACGCCGCCGTGGAGAATGTCGGGATCCACACCAAGGTACATCCCCGATGCATCGGGGACCCCGTCAGGGAAGCCTAGACTCTTGCAGACCGAGAGCAGGAAACAGGTCAAGGCCAAACTCGGACGAGGACACAGGACGAGGACAAACTCAGACGAGTTGTTCCTCGCCTTGCATCCCAGGCCTGCAGGGCGAGTTTGTCCTCGCCCTGCAAGACGAAGTCAAACCCGGACGAGGGCAGAAGCAAAACTCGGTGGCAGCGTGCCCTGGGGGGGACGGCCGGAGGGGGCGGCGCGACTGGCGGGCTTCCCTCCTCAGGAGGCTCAGGAGGCCGCCAGCCTTCCGAAGAGCTTTCTGAGTCACTAGCTGCCTCCCTCCCTCCCTCCCTCCCTCCCTCCCTCCCTCCGTTCCCCCTCCCTCCCTCCCCCTCCCTCTCCTCCTCCTCCTCCTCTTCCTCCCTCCTCCTCCTCCTCCTCCTCCTCCTCCTCCTCCTCCTCGCCCTCCTCGTAGCCGTTCTGGCACAGGGCGGTCCCTTTCCACCCCTGTGTTTGTTGGCATCCACTTCAGAGCGGCACGAGGTGCCAACGGGCCAGTTTGGCAAGGTGTCCTCGCCATGGCCCCGTCCAAGCCGCCTATGCGGGGACCAGCCCCACTCTGCCGCCAATCTAGGAGTGGAGGAGACTGCTGGGACGGGAAGGAGAGGAGGAAGAAGGGGGAACAAGTATGCTCACAGGCGAAGAATCTTTAAACAGCGGCTTGCTAGGTTCCAGCGGTGTAAGGCCATGCTGGGACGACACGCGTGTCGAATGTTTACTGCGGCCCCCCTCGCTGGTCTGAACTACGCTGCCGACACCCACGGTGATTTCAGACTACGAACTCGCCTCCTCTCGTCGTGCCCTCGCCTCCACCCTCAAACCCTCCTCTGGCCAGAGATCCCTCACCTCTCTCCTCGTCCTCTATGGTGACCCGACTTGGAGGGCTGCGGTCGCTCCCATTACTCGGTTCCCTAAAAAGAAAATTGGGGTTCTCAGGTGAGGTTGTCTGACATGTTGTGTCATTTGAGGTCCTGAGCCGAGCTTGGAAACCGGTTTTTTGTGACACCCCCCTTCCCACGTGGCGTCAAGTGAGGGGGCCCCATCCGAGCTATGAGACTTTCTCTTCATAGGACCGGCTGGCACATGCCTGCCTGGCACACCTTCGTCAACGACTTTGGTGACCACATCCAGCTCACCTCGTGTTCACCTGCGCTCGTGGCTGACCTCCTGTTCGAGGGAGTGATCAGGAGGCACCAGAGGGCGGTGGGAGACAAGTTGGGGATGGGGAGGATGTGCTTCGATGTCGTGGCCTCAGAGATGCGACGCTCTGCACAACCTCCGCTCGGTCGGGGATGTATCAGATTGCTCGCGTGTGACGGCGCTTGGACTAAGGAGCGTGCCATCGAGCGTGGCTATCAGCTTCCAGACAATCTTTGCCAACTTCGCCAAGCTGCTCCCGAGAATTAAATGCAGCGACTCTGGCAGTGTCCGAGTGTCGACGAGCTCCGCCTGGAGGCTTGTGACGCGGGCATTCTTTTGGAGTCCCGTCGTGTGCTAGCAACAGGTAGTGATATTGAGAAAGTGCGGTGTTCCATTGGTATGTTCCCTCACCCAGGGGACGCGTTGCCGAGAGCCTGCGAACAGGGTCGTATCGTCCATTTATTGTCTAGAGCCCCAGGTCCGAGCCCTGGTGCCATTGATGTTTGTGGAGATGTTTTCTGGGTCGGTTCGTCCGTTAAGCATGTCGTCAAGGAGCTGTCTAGGGCGGGCTGGGGTTTTGTCTCTGTGGACCCTCAAAGGGAGGTTATCGCCTCTGTCTCGGGTGCCGTCGGAAGGCCGTTCCCCCAGACCTCTCAAGAAGGCGAGTACAGCGCCTACGCAGCTACTGCCCAATGCCTGAATGGGCCCACCACGGGCCATGCGGATTGCATAGGGGTCGTCAGGGCCCATGTTTCTCCAAAGGCTGTGCGTTTTCTCATAGAAGTATTCAGGCAGTGCGGTTTCTCATCCAGTGCTCACTGGAATGAGGTGCGCAAGGTCAAAGCGCACGTGGCAGACTCTGCTGACCTCTTTGCCACGGATCGGTTTTTAATGCTGGGCAACGATGCAGCTGACAGAGCTGCGAAATATGGAGTTTCAGTACACCCGCAGGCCGGTGCGGATGAGATGGCGCAAGTAGACAGAGTCGTCTCAGCTGCTCGTGCCGTTTACCGAGTAGCCGCAGCAGTGCTCCCGAGCTGGCCGAAGCTCGATCTCAGTGATGTCGCGCGAGCCATTCCCATGCCTCCTGCGTCCTTCTGTCAGTCCTCCTTCGACCATCAATGGGAATGGCATCGCAGCGTGTGGCGTTGCATGTGCTGTCTTCGTTTCCGTCGCTCCTGGGAGCGACCACCTAGCAGTGGTTGCCGCGGCGAGCCTCCACCTGCTGTGCAAGAAATGCCGAATTTGGGTCACCGCATGCTTGCCTTGCAGTGCAAAGACCAGTCTCCGCTCTTCGTCTGCGTCAGATGTAAAGCCTACACCTGTCTCGGGAGAGTAATTATATTGCGCCGCCAGTGCGAACCGAAAGGCACTGGCCGAAACGACCTCGATCGATGGCGGCTCATGACGCGTGGTCTCCACCCTAAGCTCAAAGGGATTAGTGTGGGGTGGATGAGTAATCACTCTCCTCCTCCTCCCTTGTCCCTCAGGTTACCTGTTGGGCAGCGTCAAGTGGAACATCCTCGTCCTCCTCGTCCTCCTCGGGAGCCTTCTCCGAATCTACATAAGGCTGCTCCGAAACCACAGGGGGCCTCACAGCAGGCCGGAGAAGGCTTCTGAGAATCCCCGCCGCCTTTTGATATGGCCCACCACCTCTCACCTTCCTCCCTCGGCGACCCGCTGAGATCTGGGACATCTTGGAACTGGCGGGTCCAGGGCACGCATCGGGCGCCGCGGACAGTTCCAGAGCGCTCTGGAAGGCCATGGCAGCGTTCTCGAGCGCTCGGGAGCGATCTAGATCCTCTCATGCTAGATCTGCCTCCCTAACATAACGGTTCGCGCCAGTGCAAGTCAGGAATGCCTCGGAATAAACACTCCCAAACCCTGCAGGGGGCAAACCGTGATGTGACGGACCGCCCCCCGCCCTCCTCCACAATATGTGGCCAGGACCGCCTCACTTGGCGACGGAGCGAGTCGATTTCGCATTGAAACGGGACCGTCGCTCATCCACGAGCCTTCATCCACGAGTCTTAATCCAGGCCCGCGCGCGCAGCTCTCGCCCCGAGACCCACATCGCTGGAGGATAAAAAAAGGCGTACAGTGGAGACCAGTCCACAAGAACACCTTCCACAAGAAACCCAACCCTTAGACCCCAGGGCGTCCATCGATTTTTGATGTGGGAACGTCACACTCTCCATAGCAAAACCATCGAAACCGAAGGCACCCAGGGCACCCTGGGGGCAAGCAGGATGTTTCTCGGCATGCGCTGCCACTGAAATCATAAACTTGAGCCCACCTCCCTTCGGTACCGTCAAAATGGGTACGTAAATAATGGATACAAAGACCGACAGAAATTCATGTCCATGTTGCACCGGGTCCGCGGTCGGCGTCGCCGCGCACGCTGTCTATTTGAGTCAGAAGCCCGCTTGCCCAACAGCGCCTGCTGTCGGCTTTGGACCGCATTTGTTTATGGGCATCGTACCCGTCTCTGCCACACCCATTTCGGCCGTCTGGATCCCTGGCGCGGGCGCGCAGAGCGCGCCAGGGTCGGCGCCCGAGGCGCCGCCAGGGCGGTCCTGTGTTGATTGAAGAAATCCGCGCGGAGCTCGGAACGTTCATATTCGTGCCTTTGTTTCTCATTCGACTCGAATCGTGACGAAAAACACGACGAGCGGCTCCAAAATGGGTTCACGGTGCCAGCTGGCGCTCCTGCCTCAGGCTATCCTGGGGCAATGAAATCAGGCTCCTTCCCTTGCCGTGGCCCTGGACCCTCTTGACCCTCGACCGCCACACCGAACTCCGCATCAGCGACGGCGCTTCCAGCGCGCACTCCCTCTGCGACTGTGAGGGGGGCCCCGTGACGGAGGAGGGAGGGCAGAGGATGAAGAAGCAAAAAAAGGAGGAGGAGGAGAAGGATGAGGAGCAGGAGGAGGAGGAGGAAGAGGGAGACTGGGGGGAGACAGAGTAAAAAGAGGAAGAGTGTCGCGCCCCGACGGGGGAACGCATGTAGGGAGCCCTCCTTCTGTGATCGATTGCCTCCAAGGTGGCCACATGGCCTCCAAGAGAGCCCCACGAGAACCCCAGGAAGACCGCAAGAGACCCGATGGCGCAAAGGGACGGCGGCACCAGCCGCAAGGCCTTCGCAGTATGAGGAGGATCACGTGGAGCAGGAGGACGAGCACAAGGCGGATGAGGATGTCCAGCAATGACGCATCCAATACCCAACGGAGCCATCAAAGCGGCCCACGGCTGTGCAAGGGGTGACATGGAACGGCGGCTACTGTGACGCGTTGGACGCCACCTCTTTCCTCCCTCCCGTTCCTCATTCCTCCTTTTCCCCCTCCTCATCCGTCGTCCTCCTCATCCTACTGCACCACCCTCCCCCTCCTGGCCCTTCCAACAATAGTATCATGATGTGATCGTCAACAGCACTAGTCCCACCACCAGCACCATCAACACCATGACCAGCACCACGGTCATCATCAGCATTGTCGCCACCGCCTTCTCCTCGTCCTCTCCATCGTCATCCTCACCTGCGGTCCTGATGGCTCCGACCCACCTTCTCCTCGCCCTCTCCACCACCTCTTCCTTCTATGGATTAAACAGAACGGCCCCCGTGCCGGGCCATCTCCGGGGATAGGTAGTCCCATGTGCCGCAAAACGTGTTCCTGAGCATACGCCGCGAACAGGAAAGCTGACAGAGTGTACAGAATGCCAATGCAAAAGCCTCGTCGACTCTTCCTTCCTTTCCTCCTCCTCCTCGCCCTCCTCCCTGTTCGAATCATCCTCCTCTTAACACATCTCCACAGCATGATTAACCGCACTGCGTGTCGCAAACGAGCTGCATGAGCAAAACAGTCCGAGTGGAAGAACACGGGCATCCGACACCACAACGAATCATATAAAAATCCTGCAGACGCCGTTTGGTCCAACCACGCCGTCGTCGCATGGGAGAAGCAACGACGAAATCACGTGAGCAACCCATTGACTGCATCGAAAGACGAAGGCGCATCTTGCGCAACCGCGCTGCCGAATAAAGTGGGCGCGTGCATACATGCATGACAAAAGTTTTGCAAATGAGCTACAACAACTCACATTTGTGTACCCTGCCTTGCCGTCCTGGTGGTCCTGCTTTCCCATCTGAAAAATATTGTTCGCGGCCGGTTTCACGCGGCAACACAATTTGACAACATGGGCCATATTGTCACAATTGTTCGTGGCAGGCGGCGCCAAAGCGTTTGGACAAAGCCGCGCCCGCGCAGTAATCATATAAGAACGTGCAAGGGTTGTGCGTTCCATCAAAAAAATATGATGGCAACTTCGCCCTCACCCTCGACATGCGCCTACCAATCCCCAGTGTCGCCCTCCGCCAGATGGAAAAGCCAACAGGGTGCCACGAAAGCCGGCGAGCGGCCCAACAAAGTCCCACAGGTACCCCCTGCAACCCCAAAGCGGCCAAAGACCCCCCGCCACCATTAGGGTATCATGAACACGTCCTTCCGATGTCCAGCTACTGTTCCGTGCGCGTATGTGTGGACATATATATATATATATATATATATATACATATATATACATAAATATATATGTACACACGCACCAACATGTGTATATACGCACACATACACATGTCTATACATTCACATGCATGCCACGATGCCCCGAAGCACGAGTTGGAATGCCCTCAGGCCCCTGCTCATTATCTGCATCAAATGCTGCAAATCCTCTCGTTTGGACACACAACCCAAAGTTCGGGGCGATCTTTGGCGCTGCCAGGGAATTCCCCGCGAGACTTCCCCCGAAACCAAGAGTGCGTTCGTTCTTCTGGACACGCATGTCCAACATGGGCTAAAATGTCCCCGAGGACCACGCGTCACCCTTGCGGCGGCGCGCTGGCAGGAGCGAAGGACAAGACGAGGCTTCGCGTCTCACCACGGGCCACTGCCAAGGACAAATGGTTTCCATTAAACGGCGAGACGTGGTTTCCAGCGCGAGAGGGAGAGAAAGAGAGAGAGAGAGGGAGAGAGAGGGAAAGAGTAAGAGAAAAAACGAAAGGGGCAGAGGAAGGGCATATTATATAATAGCCTCCTGGGGGGCCATGGGTTTTGTTTGCCTACATGTCGACACATCAGGCAAACATGTTTTGGAAATGATCGGTTGTTCTGATTGTTGATCTTCTTCTCCTGGTAGCTCACGAAAAGCCTACCTCCCACTGCGAACTGGTGAAAGCATGGCTGAACAAGCCCGTTCCGCATGCGCGCGCGTGGCAGGCCCGCCCGGCTGACCGGCGCGCGCGTTTTTGCTCGAATTGTTATCCGCAGCTGCGGAGACGGCCCCCCCGCACGATCCATGCCCCACCAACTGTCTGCAAGGGAAAAAGGCGGAGGGCTGTCTAAATAAGCGAAGGGAGCGTTAGGAATGACTCCCCCCGCGGGCACCTAGCGTGACATCGCCGCGCCAGGGTGGACGTCAGTGACGTCAGCACATTGGCTGACATCCCAAGCAGAAAAGGCGGGACACGCCGAACAGATTTCAGCAAGTCCCACAAGCGTCGGACAGCCATCGCCCCTTCCCCCAGGGCCACTTTGGGCCCCCCGCCGCGCCGACCCCACAGAGCATTTTGCGGCGCAGGCGGCAGGGAAGGGATTGCCCCAGTCACCGCCCACTGGGACAAGTCGAGGGCCTCCCGACGCGCCCCGCCGAGGAATAGCATTAGAGTCGCGCGACGCCCAGCCATCAATTCATAACGCTCCCGGCCCGTCAATGACCCCGGCGCGCCCGCGGTTTGCATCCACGCTCCGCGGGGGCCAGGCCAGGCTAAGACATCGCCCCGACCCCTCGCCCATGCCCGCCGCCTGAGCGGTTACACTTCCACCGCCGATCGCCGTGGCTTGAGAAAAGGATTGCCTGGCAAGCGGCTTCCCCAGAGAGAATCCCCGAACTGGTGCTTTTCTTTACCAAAAGCTTCCCAGGCGAGCGCGGGACATGTTCGCGCTCGACGTTGCGCCGACATGGCGCCGAAGTCGTTCGGCGATGCGTTCGTTTCGCCAGGAGGATCCGCAGCGCGATATGATGTTTTATGAGCTTTCGTTGGGATAGCAAATCGCACGGGCCCCAGGCTCGCACGATCGCGCAGCGCGCCTTCGACCCGCGGCGCCCGATCCAGGTGGCGGGCAGGTCGCGGGCGGGGTCGATCTCGCGCGTCGTGGGTAAGCCAGGATAGAAGTGTCGTTGTATAGTTTGGAACAACTAGGTAAACGACCAATACATCTATAAGTACCGCTACAACTGACAGCGAACCTAATCTGGCAGTGATGCAGGGCCGCCACCAGCACACATATGAGGTAGATTAGTTGAGCATCATGTCGCGAGCGAAAATCAGCTGGTCTGGCGCGTGAGTTTGCGAGGGCGCGGGCTTGAGCTCGCTCGAGCTTCGCTCTGGAAGGGGGAATCCCAACGGAAGTCACTGAACGCGCGAGCTCCCCCGCCTCCCACGCGCGCCCACTTCCCTCTCCCCGAAAAGAATATTCTTCCCTGACCCCCCCCACCCCCTCCGACGGCCGCACCCCGCCCCCCCACCCCATTCCGACATGTCCCTTTCCGCTATTCCGGTTTCTCTCCTGCACCCCCCCCGCCTCCAGGACAGACCCCCCCCTCCGACATGTTCGTTTCCGCTTTTCCGTTTTCTCTCCTACAAACCCCTCCCCCCGCTCTCGCGGGCACCCCTCCCGTTCCGACAGACCCCCCCCCTCCAGGACAGACCTCACCTCTCCGACAAAGCCTCGCCCCTCGCCACTCAGGCCTGGGAGGGAGGAAGGGGGGAGGGGGCTGACGCCATTCAGGCCCAGGGAGGGAGGAGGGGGGGGGTCGTTTTGCCTGTCGGGGTGGGTGGGTCTGACGCCACTCAGGCCCGGGAGGGAGGAGAGGGGGGGGGAGGTCGCTCTGTCGGGGGGGGGCGCGGGGCTGACGCCATTCAATCCCGGGAAGGAGCAAGGAGGAAGGGGAAGGGGGGGGGGCGACGCCATTCAGGCCTGGGAGGGAAAAGGGGGGGGAAGGGGGGGGGCGCCATGGGGGAGGAGGCGAGCCATGGGGGGGGTTTCACGCCATGGGGGAGGGGGGGGGGCTGACGCCATTCAAGCCCGGGAGGGAGGAGGGGGGGGCACCATTCAAGCCCGGGAAGGAGGAACGAGGAGGGGGAGAGGGGGGGGAAGCGACGCCACTCGAGCCTGGGAGGGAGACTTAAGGAGGAGAGGAGGTGAACAAGGGGGGCGCAATGGGGAGGAGGGAAGAGGGGATGGGGAAAGGGGCTGACGCCATTCAGACCCGGGATGGAGGAGGCGGGGGGGGGGGGGGGCTGACGCCATTCAGGCCCGGGAGGAAGGAATGGGGAGGGGGAGCTGGCGCCGCTCAGACCCGGGAGGGAGGAGGGAGGGAGGGTTTCGCTCTGTCGGGGGGGGGGGCGCTGCCGACGTTCAGGCCCGGGAAAGAAGAGGAGGGGAGGGGGGGGGGCTGACGCCATTCACGCCCGCGAAGTAGGGAGGGGGGGAAGGGGGGACGCCATGGGAAGTCGGGGGGGGGGGGGGGCTGACGCCGTGGCCGACGCCATTCAGGCCCGGGAAGAGGATTTTGGGGGGGAGGGAAGGAGCCCCGACGCCATGGCCAACGCCATTCAAGCCCGGGAGGGACAAGTCGGAAGGGGGGCGGGGGCTGACGCCATGGATGACGCCATTCAGGTCCGGAAAGCGGGAGGGGGCATTCCATGAGGTTGGCTGTTCACGCGAGATCGTCACTTCCGAATATCCAAAGGTTACCCAAGCGAGTTTAACATAGATCTGTACCTCATGAGGATGTATCGAGCGAGAGCTCTTCTCTGAAACGTATGTCTGCTCGCCGCGTTTTTCCTCCTCCTCCTCCTCCCCCGCCTCCCCCTCGCCGGACAGCACAGCCTGCCCGGAAGCAGCGTGGCGGCGCGCAGGTCTGCAAAGCAGGCCTCCGGCTTGAGCTCTGGCAATGGCTTCAGCCCGCATGTCTGTCCTGATCGCCCGCTGAGCGGGGACTCGGACTAAGTTTTCTTGTTGCTCATTGCTGCACGGGAGGAGCTCGCCCCCTGAAATCGGCCGTTGCAAGCAGAATCGGTAGCGCCCCAGATCGGCGGCACTGTCCAGAGGCCACTACAATCTCACATTTGAACATCGCGGCGGTGTTGCTAGCAGTTCTAACATCTCGAGTCTTCGAAGACACCTCGAGCGAAAGCTTCATTGTCCAACATGGTGCGCCCAAGAAAACAAATAGCTCAACCTCGAAGAACTTGATCTTCAGACTAGTCAAGATTTCATCCGCCGTGCGTGGCCTTCAAGATTTCATCCGGGCGGCGAGTGAGAAGCTCGTCGTCCGTCTTGGCCACGTCACGCACGCTGATCTCAATTGCGTAGCCCACGAGGTGATCTGCTCGGCCAGCAGGCTCTTCTTGGCATCGGTGGCTGGCGCGTTGTCGCGATGCGTCTGCGCGAAAGTCTTCTGGCCCCGACATCGCCGACCCGCCGAGCGCCTGCGTGCGCGGGGTCAAATTTCTGGATCCACTCCGCCGTGCTAAACTTGCGCCGCACGCCGTCTGGGGCGCCGTCGTCACCGCGCGCATCTCTGCGCGCGGTCGAGGCGCGCCTCCGCG